CACAATCGTAATTCAAGCGTTGGTCAAAGCATATCGCATAAACCAGTAGCAACAGAAAAGATCGCTGTCGACGCAGCCTGAACCATCAAGGACAAAGGAAGAGACCTATCTTTGAATTTACACGTTAAGTAATAAGGATGGCACAGAAAGAGTAAAACCCAGTCAGCGTTGTAAGGAAACGAGGTTTTGTGTGAGCTTTATCAACTGACATTCATGTGGCAATTAATGTTGGTTGTAAATAGGCGTTTTTCATGTTCCGTCTCTGAGTTTTCGCGCACTAACTTTAATATCCATTGCAGAGATCATGAACAAGTGACAGGATATATTAACAGACATAATTTCCCACATTTACGTAATCTTGCCCTCTCTCACCCACTGCTTATAAACGTTTGACGAAATTCAATTTGTGCAAATTTCACGTTATGAAACTTGAACATTACCACATTTATTTTTTCTGAAAGCATTAATGACATGACAGTTTACCGCAGACTACGTTTCGCAGTAAATAGCAAATAACAGCCAAATTGTTTACGAACAGGGATATCCTACAACTTAAAATTTCAGCTGAAAACGGAACGATTGCACGCCATCATAAATGCACAACAATAATCAAAGATTTTCTGCACAACTTTTTCGGTAAACATCGGTATTTCATTAGGGATCTAAATAAAAAATGAGCTTGAAGAAATACAGTAGTAACCAAATAATCAATATATAACATATAAATGTTATGAATATGACAAATTAACATGCAAAAATCTATTTACAGTTCGATGTCAAATCTCTGAAAGAGAAATCTGAGTTCTCCACCCGTATTAATCAATAGAAATGTCATGAGAAAACTTTTTATAATGCAGGCTATCCTAAATAAAGGAGAAGCCTCCGGGGAAAACAGATACAAATTCTGGAAGATGTTGGGCTGATATTTTATCCTCATCTAGAAAAAAAGTACACCATACGCAACACATGAACAGATAAGACAAAAGAAATGCCATAATCATAAAATCAGGAGTCCCCAAAGGGC